TATATATATATATATATATATATGATCATAAGTATAATATCATACACATAATTCAACGATTAGATCATTCAAATTTAAATTATTGACGATGTAAGATTTGGTGTAAGTTTTTATACTAACACTTAATGTCAATAGATCTTGACTCATATAAAATATGTGTATGTATGTATGTATATATGTATATACATATGTGTGTGTGTGTGTGTTTGTATGTATGTATGTATATGTGTGTGTGTATGCACGCACATAGAGAGATGAGAGATTCACTCACTTCAAGAAAAAATCTTTGTAGACTTGTTCTACTAAATAACTCATGTTCTATATCAAATTTCAATAATCCAACCATTAAATTAAAAGTTCTTAATGTGTATTCTTACTCTCTCTCTCTCTCTCTCTATATATATATATATATATTGCATAGATCAAGTCTATAAATTTTTAATTAAAAAGTTTGAAATTTATTTGATACTTTGTTTTATTAATTCAAATTGATAAATAATCATAAAAACATTTTATATGTTTATTTGATTTTAGACAACGAAGCACCTAGGGGTGGGTATACGAACCAGTCCGACCCGTTTAAGGTCTGATCCGTAAAACTCGCGTTTTATACGGGCTGGATAAGTCCGGTCGATAAAATAAATGGACTTGTTTTTTAAGTCCGTATCCAGCCCACCAAAATTCACGGATAAAGGACCGGTTCGCGGGCCTAAATAATGGTTAAAAAAAATAAATTTTTAAAAAATAAAAATAAATAATATTAGAAGAAAAAAATATTTTTTTATTTATAAGCTAAATTTTATCATACTAAAATTTATCAATAGTTAAAATGGTTTAAAATATTAAAATAAAAATAATTACAAATATTTAAATAATAGTACCAAACTTTCAATAATAAAAGCATCAAAATGTCATAAAAATAATTCAAATGACAAATGCATACCAACTAAACATAATTTTAATGTCATAATAATTTAAAAAATTAAATATACAACTTAATATTAAAATTGAAATATTTAAAAATATTAATTAATGAAGTCCACGGACTAGCCCGCGAGTCCGCAGATTAAATCTGCCAAGTCCGCGGACACGGGCTGGGCTCAAAAATTAAACATAGTCATACAAATTTGCAAAAAAATGGGTTCGTTATCTGCGAAATCTGCGGGCTTACGGACCTGTTTGCGAACTCAGGTCTATCTACCCACCCCTAGAAGTACCACATGTTTTTTAAATTTTTTAAAAATTTAAAAATTTGATCTATACATTAAGAATTTTTCATTCAACAATTCGTTCTTAAAATTTGACATAAAATATAAATTATTGAATGAAGCAAGTTTATCAAGTAGATCTCTCCTTATGTGTGTGTATAATACACACACATTTTGTCACATATATATAAAGGCAATTTTTTTATTTTAGTGTACATATTATTTTATTTTTGACAATTTTAACCTTTTATAAAGTTGTATGAAATGCATGATAATAATAAATAAATGATAGAAAAATCATTTTGTATAAAAATTTTATCTTTAAAACTAACTGTAACTGCATAGGACTCCCATTAACATGTGTGTATTCAAGGAAAACACTACGTACGAAGGCATGAAGTAACTTTTCATGATAATAAACAAAAGAAAAGGTTAACACAATTATTAAAAAAAATTCTATGAAGTTTAATAAATTGATTACCATTTAATGTAAGATTAAAACTTATTAATAATTTAATTGATTAATTCAATCAAAAATATACTCCTGTTATTATAATAAAATCAATTATTACTGTAATCAAATATAATATATTTTTATAAATTAAAAAGAATGATGAAATGAAGACAGATTAGAATTAAAAATAAAAGCTATCTCTTTTTATTCCAAGTGTTATAATGAAGGTTTGAATTACTTTTTTTCTTCTTGCAACTTTAAAATATGCACATTTTAAGTTTTTCAAAATTATTTCAATATTCGAAAAACAAATATGTAAAACTCCTTGAATCATTTTTAATTAACGAGGTGCCACACACACATGTATAACTTAAACTAAAAATAAAATAAAAAAATGAAACTGGTGGTCAACCAGTTACGATGCAACACGCTCTAACATGTCATGCACTCCATTTAAACATAAATACAACATTGAGTTATTAGTGCCTTGCACGTATAAATTGTGTCGCGTGCTACCAAACTCTTCCTTACACTAACATATAAGTGTCCAATGTCAATTTATTTATGATAACCATCATCGACAACCTAATTTTTTTTTTTACAGAAAATCCAATATTCAATCTTTGCTGCGGATTAAAATCTTTAGTATCAAGAACAGTTACAATACTTAAAAAAAAAATTAAAAAAAAAATTTGATCCATTTAATTGTAAGGTGGCAATACCCTTACAAACACAAAACAAAACAAAAAATGTTAATGTATCATATAGATATATATATTATTATGTCTTAGAATAGTGGATTAAATCTAACTCAATCTTACAAAACTGGCTAGTAAGATGAGGGTTGCTTTCTACTTATATACTATTTAATTGCTCAATCTTTAGTGTAGGTGACTCTTTTTTTAATGATTTAGGATTGGCGACTTGAATACACCCTCATACCCATGATGCATGTATCAATAAACGGTATGTGCCCTTTTTATTTTATTTGACGGGACTTGAATACACCCCTCATGCCCATGTATGAATGAATAGTATGTGACCTATTTTTATGAATCTAGGACAACTTTAATACCATTTTAGAATAGTGGATTAAGCCTAACTCAACCCTACAAAACTGGTTAGTAAGGTGAGGGTTGCTTTCTACTTGTATACTATTTAATTGCCTAATCTCTAGTCGACGTAGGAGTTGGATTTTTTCCAATATTATGTGTGTACCATTGTGTATATATTCTTTCAAAAACTTGTTACTTCCCATTC